CAAAAATGAATGTTCAGCACCGGCAAAAGAATCTTACTTCAGATATATTTTCAACACCAAATACAATTTAGGATTTGGCAGTCCGAATACAGATATGTGCTCAACATGTCTGCAGCTACTAGAAAAAATAAAAACAGAGAAAGATGAAAGGAAAAAGGAACAGTTCAGAGTAGAAAAAAGAGTTCATAGCTTGAGGGCAAAAGCTTTCTATTCGCTGCTCAAGACAGAAGAAGAGGGTCTGAAAATAATTTCTTATGATTGCCAAAAAAACATGAATCTTCCTAAAGTACCAGATCAATCGTGTTATTATAGCAGGCAATTATATCTTTTTAATTTCACCATTGTGGAAGGAACTTCAAAGACACCACTTAATAAAAACAACGTTTTCGCAAATGTCTGGACAGAGAACACTTTCTCAAAAAATTCTAATACAATAGCATCTGCAGTGTATAACCACCTAAACAAGATGGATCTTACCAATATAACTACCATTAGACTGATCTCAGACGGCTGCGGAGGTCAGAATAAAAATTCCACCATAATCACAATGTGTTGCAAATGGTTGTTGGAACATCCTTCTATTAAAACAGTAGAACTGGTGTTTCCAGTAACTGGCCATTCCTATCTTCCAGCAGATAGAGTGTTCGGAAACAGTAAAAAGGAATTTCGTAAAATGGACACAATACTAAGCCCGAATCAGTACATCGATATCATTTCACAGCAGGCAACTATTGTAAAAGTAGGCGAAGATTTCATTGTATATGATTTCAAAAAGGAAGCTGAAACAATACTAAAACCCCCCGGACAGTGGAAAGTACAGTTTGCGCAGTGTAAAAGATTCTATTTAAAACGATCGAAGCGGATCGGAAATGTGTTGGTTCAGTCGGAGAGATTTTACAGGAATCAATCAGGAAAATATGAAAATGTTTGTCGGAAATCTAAAATTATGAGTATGATTGCTCCTAAAAAAATAATAAAACACATACCTGTAAAGGCATTAAAAGTAAGGGACGTTTAAAATCTGCTATCAAAACATTTTGGAGACGACTGGCAAGGCCTGGAACAATTAAGTTTCTATTCAGATGTGATAAACATTAATGAAACTCTGGCTGAGAATGAAAATGACAATGAAGAATTGGAATGTGAACCAAGAGAAGAAACACCGCTTTTGTTGATATAATAATGTTAAAGTGATGATTTGTACTGAAACAAATATGTTAGAGATTTTTTTTAGTTTTATCTTTTAACTATAGTTGTGTTGCTTTATACTGTTAGCCTGTAAGAAATATACATACCTAAACAAATAAATAAAAAAAAAACCTAATTTTTGTACATAAATAGTTGACCAGCTGAAGAGTGACACGTGATGCTAGTGGTACATGATACAAGGCGCGAGGAAACCTCATAAAAATAATGTTCATGATACGCAGTATTTTGACACATTGTACTGAGTCCGGCCGGTGAGATTAGGTTGGAATCAGTTGGAATCAAACTTGGTCAAGTCCTGTGAAGTTGGTATCAAACATGGCTATGTGCATCGCTTGGGATCAAAACAGGTTACGTCCAATAGTTTCTATCAATTCAGCGGATTTCCTTCTCTTGTAGTATGCTGAATGTAATACCAATATAAAGAATGACTTTTCTTTCATTGTTTTAACAGTAATTCTCAAATTTTAGTTGCTGCCATCAAAAGTGAGAGTGTTTTTTTACTTCCTGTCAAATCATGCACGATGGACGTAGCCAGATTTGATCCTATACCCCTGATATACAACATTGTAGACACTTATTATAGGTAATACTTAGGTACTTACTTAGTCCTAAGCCTTTCTACCGTTAGAGTTAGGTGTAAGACTGGTGGTGTTAAGTTTTGCACTGTTTCTCCATGCTTTCCGGTCTTGTGTTAGATTTCGTGCACTTTCCCATGTCAATCCTTTCTTCTCAACTTCTTTTCTGATTTCGTCTTCCCACCTAACTTCCTCGTTTGTTTTTCCCTTGCACTCTCGTTTCAAACACTCGTTTTGTTAATCTTTCATTCGACATTCTACACACGTGCCCGAACCATATTAGTTGACACTCTACTATTTTTCGTTTATTGGTTCTAGTTTTAGGTTTTGTCTGATTGTTTCGTTTCTTATTTTATCTGCCCTCTTTCTGTTTGCCATTTTCCTTAGGAACCTCATTTCCATAACATTGACTCGAGATTTTTGTCTCCTAGTCAATGTCCATGACTCGCTATTATACATGATTGTAGGTCTAACTACTGATTTAACGACTGCCGTTTTTACCTTCTCCGGTATTTCTTTTTTCCCCAAAAATGTTGTTTTCTTAGTGTTAAATAAGCTTCCTGTTCGTCCCATTCTCTCATTTATTTCCATGTCTTGTTTACCGTTTGATTCAATTATTACTCCTAGGTATTTAAAATGTTCCACTGGTTCTAGTTGTTTTCCTTTTAATTGTATTGCGTGAGTCTTTCTTTTATTTGAAATTATCATTGTTTTTTTTCTCTGTATTTATCTTCTTATTTATGTTTGACAGTTCTTCTTCTAGGATTTCAAGGTTGTTCTGTAGGTCTTCTCTGTTTTCTGCTATCAAATCCATGTAGTCTGCAAATATAAGCTCTGATAGTTGAGTCTGTTTCATTTGCCAGTATCCTAATGTTAGTTTTCTCATTCCTTCCTTGGCTTTCTTTATTGCTTCATCCAGTATCACTGAGAACAGCAGTGGGCTCAACACGCGTCCCTGTTTGACGCCTTGACTTGTAGTAAATTCGTCGAATTCCTCGTTATTGGTTCTTACCGTATTTGTATTATTGTTGTACATATCTTTTATTACATCAATTGTTACCCTGTCAACTCCTCTTTCCTTTAATGTCCTCCATACGTCCTTTCTTTGGATTCTGTCAAACGTCTTTTCCATATCAATAAAGCATGTATGTTTTTCTCTGTTTTTATCGATAACTTTCTCATTTACTTGTCTTATTGTGAATATGCGGTCTTGCGTGCTTCTGTCCTTCTTGAATCCACATTGTGTATCTTCCATAGTTGGTTCTATGTGGCTAAAAAAATTTGGTAAAATTTCAACGCGGGATATGGAATTATAAAGTTGGTGATATCATTTATAAGTTCATTACTTGCTGTTTTATGATTATTGTGTTTGCCGCGTTGGTCATCCATACATGAAGTCCCCAGTTTTTCTACTATCTACATTTACGTTTCAAATCATCGTATGTGAAATATCAAGAGTATTAATAAAAAAACGTTTTGCATATCCTAACTCTTTTATCATATACGGAAAAATAGAATGCGTAATTTGGGTTCTCGGCATTGGTATACTTGTTCCTAGGTGTAATCTTTGTGCTATCAGATAAAACATACATGCTTTGCAATTGTCTATCTTATAACGCCCAGAATGCATTAAATATCTTTAACCTCTTGGAATAATCGATTCCATCACTGCATTTTAATATACATTTTTGGCCACAAGGTGGTTTCATATTACATACAGGAAACAGTTTCTTTGAATGTACAGCTACATCGCTTTGGCCCAAATTTCGTTAAATTTTTTGCGTGTTTTGCATCCATTTGTTTGAATATGCTTTACGTTTCCTTGATTTTGTTTGGATGCTATCACTTGTCCTAGTTACATTGTTTGTATCAATCGAATGCATTGGAGACATGTCAATATGGATGTCATCGAAATATTAGTTTTAGAAGTACTTGTTTGAGGATCGAACTCGCCGCAAATCGGTGTCAATATCGATGGTGAAGAAACATTAGCTGTACCTGGCTGTGGGTCGATATTTTCATCTAAAAGTGGTCGGACTGTGTCTTGATTGTCACGAGAGCTTGTACCAGATGAAGTGGTACTTTTGTTGCTGTTGGAACTCAAACTGCGTGAGCTACTACAGCTGGACGAAGAGCTTGAGCTAGACGAACAAGGGTGAGTGATGGATTTCTGAGGAACAGTTTCTTGTTACTGGGTAAAACGAATTGTACTTGTATCTGAACTAGTAGACTCCAATGGTTTGTTCTCTTTTCCTTTATTAGAATTTATAACTTTAAAAATAAAAAAACAAATGTAAACCAATTATAAAAATAATTATAAATTCCGTAATTAGTAATATTTATATTAGTAACATTTTCAATTGAAAAAGATAGATCATCGTCATAGTTACAATCTGATCTAAGGTGATTTGGTGGTTTCAGCAGTTTCAGTATTCTTTGTGTTCGGGATTCCATTTTTCTGTAAAATAACATAATATAACAAAATACTAAATTGATAATAATATCTAAAATAGCGTACCTACTCAATAAATTTCTGTGATAATAGAGTGACTCAATAAAGTGACTATTCCATATCGATAAAATTAAAACTTAAAAGTAAACACTGCTTTAAATATGTGTAATTTACTAAAAATTGATTATTTTTCTGTTAATTTAATCGGCCTAATATATTTTCTTTTTTTTTTTGAAATTTTCATGTAAATAATGCCGTATCACAAAGTGCGTCATCAATAAAACAATTTACGTAACAATAACAATAATTTACAATAACATCTCTAGTTTTTGACAATATACCGATCTATTATGAATTAGACCCAATTATTTATTACATTTTGCATAATATAACGGCGCAAGTACAAATTGTTCTATATAATACAAAATGATAAGACACAAACTCACCATGATGTTCGTCATAGAAGGGCACAAACACGAATCGCAAAACGTTTGAACAGTCAGTCTTTGACGAGTATGGACACGTTACTGATTGCTACCTTGTAGTCGTAAAGAGAGGCACAAATATAATTACCGAACCAAGAATGTAATTTTCTCTCTCTGTCAGTACTAACACACAGTTAACACAATTTTTGAGTTGATCCCTTATACTACTGAGGGTGAAATATGGGATATTTTTTACTTGGAAGAATGTGTTATCTATTATCTGTTTTTCAACTTATTTATATTTGCAATTATGTCTAAGTCGTATTAACCATTTCCCAGGATCAAGCCCTCGCACATCACCAGGTCTAGTGGCAGGACATTACGCCGGCTGTAAGTTCTCCGAGCCTCCGCTCCCTTCCGCTTTACCACTGCCGCCCAAACATTGGATGCAGACAGCCAGACCATCGAGGTTGAACTTCTATCCTACGATTCCCGTCGCTTCAGATCACAAGGACGTGGCGCAGCAGCTCAAGATGCTGCTGAAGGTCCAAGCCTGACCAGTCGAGCAAAAATCTTTGACGCTAAACAGACGATCGCTGTATCTATTGTTGCGATAGACCACTACAGCCGATCGATGAACAGTCTGTTTCCGTTGGAAAAGCAGAGAAAAAAATTATGAAAATCCGTGAACAAGAATCGAGAGAATTTGTGATTAATTTTTAAGATGTAATTGGTTAGCGAGTGAACACGACAATATTGAATTTATTTCTAAAAAGGACTTGATAGTGGCTTTCTATTAAGTTCTTTGGTTGATGCGTCCAAAATTCCAGTTGCGAAATGTGTCGGTGCCATTGTAAACGTACAAAAAAGGAAAGAACTGTTGTTACCGTATCGATTTTATTAGTTTTAGAGTGATTTTTTTCTTCTCAGAGAAAATGGACTGTCTGGTATAGCGTACAGCCTTTCTTTCAGCCAATACAACTCAAAAGTATCTCCTTTATGCTATTTAATAGTTCAAAGATCAGAAATATTATCTACTAATTATGATATTTAAGTAACTAGTATATTTTGTGGTAAAGTCTAGTGTTTAGAAGAGTCTAGATACAGATGAGGTAAAATTTTTATTGCGAGGTAGAATCAGTTGTTAAAATTTTATAACTTAACCCAAATCTTAATTTTTTTGGCTATACCATTGCTTGTGTTGTAATTTTAAACATAGCCTGACTTACGTTATTTTTAGTTTAAACACACTTTCAATACTAGCTCTCTAAAACTATATATCCTTGAAAAATAAAATATTTAGTTGATGTTTGTAGACCAAAGATTGATTCCGTGCAAAATGGCTTATCTACTTAATATTTAGGACCAAACATTGATCTTAGAAGTAGATATAAAAGGAAAATTTTGTATATTTTTAGACTTTACTGATATTTACTTTAATTCTATCTTATTCGTACCTAACAACTTTTCTAGACCCTAGACTTTAGTATTTTTATAGGTTTATTGTAGACAGATCTGTTTAAAAATATCTAAATATTTTTTAAATAGTTTTTGATGAGGTAAAAATGTATAATAAAGATCTATAGCTCTCAATTAGTAAAAATTATAAACCAGCATACATTATTTCGAAACGTTTCTAATTGACCATATATAACCGTGGAATCCATATAATTATAGGTATTATAAGTTTTATTACATTATGTAGTTTAGATCTTTCACCAGTTTTTTATTGTTCGACACTTACATTCTTATTTATATTCTTGTTATATCTCACAGATTCACAATGGCGTATCTTTTATAATATCTTTTTTTATTATCTGACTCCTATTGCCATATATCTAGCAAATTTCACATCATATGGACATATATGATCAATATGAAGCTAAGATAGACTACTTCGTGTTTCGTTTTTTTTACTTAACTCACGCTTTTATGTTTCACAATGCAATCTACACAAAAATTGTCAGCAGTCATTTGTCGAAGTCGAAGATTGACAGTTGACATCTGACGATGACTTTGCTGATGTTTAGTTTTGTAGCATTCCCAGTGATATTTTCATTTCATTTTCATTTCACAAAAATTTTGAACTAAATATTAGCTTTGGATACTATTTCCAGATCTGTCTACAAGTGATAATTTTAACGATAAAGCAAACCGTACTATTTGTGTTACGAAGTAGAATTCACCATTTTTCTTTATCAAACCAGTATTTATCCTCAAAAATTCTATATGTATACGATTAGAAGAGTGGTAAATTTCTATTACATAATGACCTTTTTTGTTGTGATCTAATTTTAGTGGTGGTTGCTTAAATTGAACACTCTGTGCAATTTCTCCCTTTTATGATATTTCTGTCGTGACGTAAACGAATGGAGACGCGCAAAGTACTTTATTAGCTTGAGTACAGGTCGCTATCAAATAAGGGCACTTTTTATCTCTAAAATTTTTTATATGAGATGCAAAATATGAAAAAAATGCTCTCTATATATGTTATACAATGTTTTTAATCTAATAGAAAAATCCTTACTTGCTTTGGTGTTGTAAAAAAATCTAAAAAAAAAATATTTAAAAAATGCTGGTAAGGTTTTTTTTGTAGATTTCAAATTTTTTTATTTTGTTGTGAACAAAATGTAAGTATATTTAGAGTGTTGAAGATTTCCAGATAATCATAAGAAATTGACATATTTTGAAAGTTTTTATCTATATCTGGGAATTTAGCACTTTTTATTACTTAACCGAGATATGAGTGATGATCTAAAGAACTATGGACTTGATTTAAGAATCGAATATTTTACTACACAGACCGTATTGTTTTACAGAAGTATGTTGTAGATATAACAGATTATTATTGAATTCAAAGAGTTGTATTGGTGATTCAAAAATCGTGCACAAAATGTCAATTTTACAAGGAATTCCGAATAATTGTCACGTAACCAAACTGCACAGTTTGGACTACAGTTTGAAAAGATCCAAAAAATCATTTTATCTCCGTAAGGCTTAAAAATAAGTAAAAGATTCTTTTAAAGAATCTATTGGAGGAGTATTGTCCATGTACCTGTTATTTTTTAATTCCTATTGAGTATAATTGAATGAATTAACAATTTTAAGGACTTCGTTGTGACTGAATGTTGAAAAGTCGGCACAATGTACTATTTGTGATATTCTTAATAATATTTAAAGGAATTCCTTGACATTGGCCAATCAGATTTGTACAAATATGTGCCCCACACTTGTCTATTTCCTATAATTGAAAAGTAAGAGGCCCTGTAATGTGTTGGTTCTAATAAAAATAAAAATTAAAGATGATGATTGTCCTGTTCAGCCGCGCTGTGATAATAAAAAGACTACGTCAGAAATGGCGCAGTCGATAGGATATAGAACATAGTTTTAACTTTCAACTTAGTCTCTTTCTCAATGTGATTTTGTACAACTGTTAAAAAATTGTAAGAGTATAAATTTTAAGTTTTTTTGTAATTTTTGAGCAGCTAATGCTCTTTAGGAGGTGAATGTGTGATAATTCGGAAGGGATAACGTAGCACCGTCCTTTTTAAACGACCTATATGCTATACGCTATTTTGTTTGTTTTTTCCTTTATTTCTTTATTCAAAAGTTTTTGTGGGCTCTGTAATTGATTTTTCTATAAAAGCATTCAATTTATTTTGTCGAAAATATGTTGGTAACACTGTGTGTCAGTGTCATTTTTAGTTTATATAGCTTTTTTTAATTAGGTTTTAGGAGTAATTCAAAGAAAGTATTGAATGGTTTTATTAATTTTTCTTTTAAAATTTGATTTTTGTTTTGCAAACTAACTGCACTATTCAAAAATTTGTAAGTTGCTAGAAAAATTCCGTATAGCTTGGCTAAAATTTTTATTTCTCGATAGTTTCCTTGATGCTCGACGCTGATTTAACCATCAGCAGTACTGATTTTTTATTGAGCATCATAGAAATGTCATCAGGAGATTCTTTCCCAGTAATTTCCATATGTAGGACAGTGTTATGGTATCAGTTTGAGAGTTTATTGAATTATTATTGAAATCGTCAATTAAAAGACGAATATTTTTGTTAAGGCAGTACAAATGTATATGTAATCACGATAGAATCTAAGTTAGAGATAAGTCAAAGAAAAGCTTTAATGAGTCTTGGATCTGACGTCGGGCATTTCCAATCTTTTAAATTTTTCTAAAGGAGGTCGGAAAACGGCGCTCAGATTCTGGATTCTGAGATTTAACTCATCATTCAATATTGTATTATTGACATTTCTGAAGAAAATCATTGACGGTTGTCGAAGAAAGAATCTCTTTTAAAATTTTCTGCTAAAGCACAAATTTGCACCTTAAAAGCTTCCAGTATTGCTTATTGTCATCGAAAAACCAGGTTTCGAGTCAATATTTTCAAGAAAAAATCGAAGTAACGGTTTAGTAACTTTTTTTTTGTTAAAAATGTATTTAAAAAATGAAAATATCCGGGAGGTCCACTAAAAATTGAAATTTGGTATTTTTGACTGTCATGTTAGATATTACATTTCAGCTGAAGATTTGTTTCAAAAGCTTTATAGATAGCAACGATTAATGTCAAGAATAATATTAAAATGAGAAAATACGATAAATTTTGTGTCAGATATGTTTAGGTAGGAAATATAAAGATAGCTGATTAATTAATTAAAGCAGTGAAAAGTGGTGTACATCTATGAATAGATAATTGGCGCAACTCATAAATTATTAGTAGCAGAACTATGGAAAACCACTTGTAAATACTGGCAGTAGTAGCTAGTATCACACCGTCTGAGAAGAAGAATGGTCTCTCGTCGTCGTAGCAGGAAGTGAAGAAATTGTTTACGAGATGCGGGTTTTAAAAGATCTCTCGGTGAAGATATTTTGCTCGTCGCGACTATTGGTCAAAGAGTTCTTCTCCGATCGCTGAGGGTGAAGCACTGTTTACGTATATGGGTTGTGTAAAATTTACAAAAATCCTGATTCCACAGTTATTTACGGTAATAAAAATAATAGTTCCCGGTTTAATGGCTCGAGTTGATTAGTTCAAGTGTTTTGGAGTTAAAATTAATAATTTCCCCCACACACATGTGCTTCTCAGTTTGCAGCTTTTATAAAATATGTAGAGTGCAAATTTTAACGTGAGGAATTTAAGGATAATAACAAACAATGAAATAAGTAATTACATAAGGTCATTAAAGTGTTAAAAATATTAAGAATAATAAAAACTCAAATATTTAACTAAACTCTAAATACATTTCCAAACAAGATAAATGCCACAATTAGTGGTTTCAATTAAGTAAATAACCGTTTCAATTAAGTAAATAAATGCTTGAAATGATAAAAAATTGATGAGAAAATGAATGTTCATCTTATTCTGCCAGAAACTTAGAAATAGCGTAGTTCAAGAAACGTTGAACTATTTCATTATTGTCTATAAAGCTGGATATTGAGTATCCAGAAATGGACACATTTGCAAAAGATTTTGTAAACAATTTGAACAATGTTTTATAATTGTATGTGAGCTGCATATTGTCAAATCCTTTATCAGAAATAAAAATGAGATCGGAAAATTCAGAAAAAATTCAAGTAAAAAACGGACTGAAATTCTTTCAAAACGATTGATAAGGTGTCAAAGCGAAAGAAAGCAGATACACACTTTTGTAACAAATATTTTTCATATAAAAGATATTATTCTTGAGCAGTTGTTATTTTTTATGAAGCTTTTTTTTGTATAAAATCTTTATTGGATTAAACTTTCAATATATAATTTAATATAACGTATAATTTTGCTCTAATGATCGGGAATCGTTATAGAAATAATACATATCACATTAAACAAATGTTGGAGATGTACCGAACTGTACCGAAAGCATTTTCTTAATTAAAAAATTCTTCTGCTTTTGGTTATCTTTATAACGTTTGAATCGTATCTTGAATCAAAAGATCCAAAAATGTATTCCGTGTAAAATGGCTAATATTCATTGTTGAGGATGCGATTGAGGAGACCAAAATCATTTTATGATGTTAGAAAGTCACATGATTGTTATATTTCTCCAAATAATTTCAAATAACAGTGGCGCCCAACGTGGGACCCAAACAGCCTCACATTGCCCGCCAATATATAACATTATAGGGTGTAAATACGAGGGGATATACAAAGAGTAAATAAGAATTTAACGGAAATAATTGAAAATTTAAATTTAGGAATAATGATTAA